GATTAAATCATCTTTACCATGCAGAGAAAATTACCATCTCCAGGATTCCAAGTAGAAGTAGTGCTGGTAGACTATGATGGCTCTATTCCACCAAGGTCTACAACTCCAACCATCACCACTGAATCCAGTGGAGCCTCTGCAACTGATACAGCCACAAAAGAGAGTAGTAATCCACCTCCAAAACAGACTACAGAATCTAGTAGCCAAGATAAAGATGAAGTTTTCTCTGATAGTGATAACGAGACTTCTAAGAAAAAGCAAGCAAAGACCTCTGGTGATGTTTTACCACCTTCTACGAGTGTTAAAGAAACCGAAGCAAAAGCATCACAAGGAGAAGCATCAAAACTTGCTGATAGTGTTCAGCAAGTTTCTCTGAAGCAGGAGGAGGATTCAAGGACTTCCAAAGCTCCGGAAATGAAGAGTGAAGGGAAGACTAAAAGCTCCTCGGTTGTGGAAACTCAAGAAATGGGATCAACGGGTATGAGTGAGTTCAAAGCAATTGCAGCAGATGCTTCTGTGTTTTCTTTCGGTGATGAAGATGATTATGAAAGTGAATAATTTGAGATGCATGAGGACTATATGATATTTCGAGTGCCTTCAAACTAGGTGTAATAATGCAGAATGTATCATTGTGGGCTGAAAGTTCATTACTTTTGCATTTCAAATGATATTAAATGATGTGAATGTGTTTCAACTTTATTCAGGTTTGGTTAATGTATGAATGCCTGGTACTGTTTCAGGGACAAGGACACATGTCTAATATGAGTAGCTATAGGCTCTCTCAGCTAAACATGATATTTGTTCAATCATTTTATGTTAGTAAGACCTGTATCTATCTTTGATGTAGTTTTCTTCAATGCTTGTTTTATTACACTAGTATTTAACACGTGATGCATATTAAGTAATGATATGGGACTAAAATATTTGAAGTTCATCTCACATTGCATTCACTCATGATTTTTTTTAGAACTATGAAGTGGACTCAAACAGACCCCCCCAGTCACCCACTCACAATGAATTTATTGACATCTATATTAGTTTTTTCTCTCTATGAAATTACATACTTGTATAAGTAATAGATTGATAATTTTTTCATAAATTAGAGGTGAATCCGGTTGCAGATCTGTTCGTTTTCTTAAAAAAAAAACAATACAATTTTTTCTCTTAATTATCGCATGTGAAATCTTGTTGACTGCAAGGTATCCTAGTTACTATAATCGAGGGACTGACTCTGCTGTCAAAATTCTCACTTATTCTATTTTTTTTCCTTCTTTCGACTCTTTTAGTGATTCCTTTTGTGCATTTGAGCATCCATATATAGCATAATTTTATGCAACTCTTGTCTAAGTGGAGTATTTATGGAAGTAGACAAGTTGTGAAATTATTAGCACATAATTAATGAAGAGAATTTGATTAGCCAATAATAGATTATACATGAATCCTTTAATTATAGGTTCATTTTCTCACTGAAATTCATATTAAATGCATTATTTGTGGCTTTAAAAGGGGAGATGTCATAAAATAGCAATAGTTCCGTTCATTTATATACTATGAAATTTATATGAAATTGACTCTGATTCTATCAAAAGTCTCATATCTATTTTTGTCTGAAAAGGGTACAATTTGAGCGGAAGGTACACATCTTTTTGAATTTTTCTGTTTTTATGTTATTTTATATTGTAAATGGAGTTGCCCGTCCTGACTGTCCAGGCTAGCAAAGTAGGCTTTCCCTCCTTTAGTTCAAGAGTTCTTACTTTATTGGCTAGGATTAAATTATTGTATTGCGTATAGTTTTTTCATGAAAAAAATATTAAGATACATCAAAACTAAACCGAAAACCTAAAAGCACAGCAAAATAATAAGGACAAACGCTGCTCCTTATCAGACTGCAAAACATTGTGTAAAAAGATGGTGAGTCTTCGAGCAATATCGGACCAACACATGAGCCGTTACATTCCTCGTTTAACGAACTATCTGAAAATCCCATTCCTTGAGTCATGTGCAACATCGTTGAGTATCATCCACAAGGTGTTCGAAAATCGAGTGTTGCTCCACCCAATTATGGATATATCTAATTACCGCATCCGTATCTTCTTCAAAAATTATCTTTCCACATTCAATGTCAAGAGTAAATGTATTAGCTTCCCACACCACTTGGAATTCCGTATACTTAGAATTACATTGTATACAAATACTATAATAAGTATATTGCAATAGTTAGTACTATATCTTATGTATCTTATGATAATTTATACGATATTTCTAGACTACACCAAGAGTTTAACATTTGTATTAGTATTCCTCTCCATGGATTTTTTACACATAAGATGCACATATCAATATATTATAGTATTGAATTAGATGTTAGATGTTTAATTAAATATTTAATTATCATAAATTATGATATAATTTATAAATATAAGTTATAATATTATTATCTTATATATTAAAGTTGTATATTTATTGTGTAATATCTAATATCTAAAGTAAAATATTTATCTTATTTAACATAACACTAATATTGGTAAAATTTGTAATATATCAGTTCTTATGTTGAGTGCAAGGATTTATAGTGTAATAATAGAATGAATTGATTAAGATTTATGATTAAAATTTATAATATATATTTAGTTCTTAGTATTAGTTTTCATTGTAGGTGTCAAAAATTACCCGTGGGTTCCCGCACGTAGTTCAAGACAAAGTGAAGACGATAAATGTCATCATCTGAGTCAAACGAGTTCATCTGAGGTCGTAAAAAAAAGTTAACGAGCGCACGAAGCGAGTCGGCGAAGCGTATGAGTCAACGGAACGATGAAATATGCAAAACGGCAGAACAAGACCAAACTGGAAAGTCCGGAGAAGCCCTTGGCAGCCGAGTCGCATCAAAACGACCCAGCCAAGGCCGAGCCACCCTAGGGTGACTCGGCCAAAGACCGAGCCACCATAAGGTGGCTCAGCCAAGGCCGAGCCACCTTAGGGCGACTCGCACAGTGCCGAGCCACCTTAGGGTGGCTTCCGCCCATAAATACCCGAAACGTATTTATTGATGAGTTTTCACAGGATTTGTTCATTCCAGAGCCTCCCAGCTGTTTTGATATCATGCCTAAACATGGTTAGACCATTATTAGCTGAAGATAATGCCAAATCACTTATTCCTATCCAAAAACACTGTATCCGAAGCCTATAAATACAAGCCTAGGGCCCCTATACCCGGGTGATCGGAAATTCGGAGCAAGAGGGCGAGGTGCTGTCAAATTGGAGAGTGAACCCACGAATTTTAGAGAGGCTAGCGAGTTCTTGGCGAGTCCTTCAGCATAAAGGGGAAGAGTTCGAGAGATCTGAAGTCTGTTCCACCATTCCTTAAGATCAGACTTTGTTTTGATATTTAGAAGAGTAATAATAGCATTTTGTTGAGATTATTTATTTCTGCGATTGTTTCCTTTGTGAAGTAAGAGCATTAATCTTTTATTCCGATCAACCGGATCTGATCCGCGGTGGTCCACGGATAAATCCCGACACAAGCAAAGATCTCACGGAAGTAGCGGGTGATAAACGTCCTCTGCGTGTGTTTCTAGAGAGTTGTATTTTTATTTTTTGATTCGTGTAAGAAAAGTCTTATAAAAAAACTAACTCTTTTGAACTTGATGTAAACGATTGAAGTTGTAATGAGTTCCATAAATAAATTAACTTTCGACGCAAACACTCATGTTTATTTTAAGAATAATTATAGTGTAATAAATAGAATGAATTGAATAAATTTCGAGGTATTATTGTTGTAGGCTGTCTAAAAATCACAATGGATAGCTGATCCCTATCAAGCTCCTACGATGGAAGTCACAATCAGATGGCTGTCTAATCACTGTATTCGCAATCCTACAATCGCTACAAACACGGCCTCATTTCTGAGATGATTGATCTTGATGGTTGCGACAACAACATGACTAATATTATATTAGCAACTGTTAGAGATGCTGATTAACAGTGCAATGATTTCAGAAATAAAAGGTTGGACGTAGTTGGTGAGTTGCTTGGTAGAGAGCTGTGGGCAAATATTCATCTAAAAACACTATGGATGTTGATTCCCGTCAAGCTCCCACAACAAAAGCTACAATCAAATAGCTTTCGGGTCGACAATCGAAAGCGGCAAATAGAGGACTTTTCACATAGATCGAGAAGAGTTACAATTCAACGACACTTCTGACAACTGATGAAAACTCTATTCAGCAGTCTTCACATTCTATAGTGAAAGTTACAATCTGACGACTTTCACACCCCACAACAGCTAAAGCTAGGATTACTGAACAACGGTCCTTGCAACGCTTCACAGAAGAAGTTACAAGTCAAAAAGCTCCTTCTGAAACACAGATGTCATCCCCGCGTTACAATTCTGGAAATGCAGGCGACCCCCGCGTTTCCAAGCCACCCGCGCGTTACAACAAGCGAAATGTAAGCGACCCTCGCGTTCTTAGGGGTCCAGCCAACACCGACCCCCGCGTTTCCAAGCTACAACAAACCAAAACGCGAGCGACCCTCGCGTTCCATGATGTTCAGCCAACACCCAACCTCGCGTCTCAATTCTAAGAGGCGAAGTTGGGTTCTGAACGTCAGATTGGGCGTTTTGACTTGTTCAAATACAAGCCGAACGGCCTCAAAACCGTTATCCCACGTTCTGAGGGATTTTCGCCCACTTAGGAGCGGATTTAGAGGGTAGCTACAACCTCTTATCCCCCTATAAAAACTCAACAAACTCAACTGAGTGGGGGGCTGGCTTTTTGGAACGGAAGAGGGGGCAATAGGTTGGATTCTGAGGATCTCAACCACTCGGTTCGGTGATTCAACAGCAGCAGCATTAAAATCCCTGGAGATAGGATTTTTGAATCAAGTCAGAAGATCAAATCTGAGAAGATTCTTCAACAACAGAATATCAGCTTGGTCATTAACCGAATTTTCGGTTCTAACAACTCTATTAACAGAGTTCTAACTCGTTCAGAGTTCTTAAACTCATTCAGAGTTAAACATCAAACTTTCCACAGAAGTTCATCGTTCCCACGAGAAAAAAGAGACGGTCGGATCGTCAACGGAGAGCAAATTCGACGCGAGCAATCGAAGGAGGCATTCCATCGCTACCGAGAAGAACCCAGTTTTAAACAAAGGAGAGAATCAAATTCGTTCTATTCTCTTTTGTAATCAAATTATAATCAGAAACAAAGGAATACAAATCAATTTTTTTTGTTCTTTTCTTTGCAATTTTCTCGGGAACGCGATCTTCAAGAGGTCCGCCAGGTTCAGAAAAGTCAGCGTGGCTTCAAAATCCACGTTCGACATTCTGACAAGAAACCAATTTGTTAGGCGTCAAAAATACTGCCCAGACATCCACAATACCATTTCAAAACAACATCGAGTAACAAATTTACTCGTCATAGGCAACACAGCAGAACTGTTGCGGCCGCGGCCAACCTCATCGGTGTCGCGGACCTAAAGGCGCGACAGCAACTTTTTTTTTGTGACTATTTGCCATCAACCCTTTGCCGCGGCTTAAGCGCCGACAGCTTGTCGAGATTGTCGCGGCTGAGCGCGACAGGCTTGTCGCTTGATAAAGGGACGTGTCCCCGGCTTGGGCTGCTGCCAATCTAGGGCGGGTTTTGCGCGGCTATGTTAAAGGAGTGTTTTCCGCAGAGTTACGAAAACAGCTTATATCTTGGATAGATTTTTGTTAGGTCTTTGCCACAATCCCTTGCAGCTATCCAGAACCCACAGAACGTCTGCTGACGTGCCGAACAAGAGTTAAAAACCACGAAAAAAGCGCTGGTTAAAAGCTCGTTGGCAGCGAGAAAG